TCAGGATTTCAGAAAGGTTAAGAGCCAGCTGCAAACAGTCTGAAAGAATAGGGGTGTGTTATCAGCAGGGGAGAGATTGAGATTGTTCCTGGTTTAGTTGATTTTCCAGCATAAGGATTCAGAGAGCACATCTGGGGGGACCTTAGTGCCTCTCCACCAACCAGCTGGGAAAAGGTTTCCTTCTGTGGTTTCAGAGCAACATGACTGGCTGCACGAACATTTGTATCCAAGTAAAAATGATTTATGGTGACACGCTGCAAATCATGTTTCTAGAAGGTGACAGAAAATGTTAACACTATATCTTAAAAACCCTGTGCAATTGGTTTATTACCAAAAACAGAATTACAACATGTGGATGACAAAAAAACCCTGTTTCTACCATCTTTTTTTTTCGCTTGTGCCATCTTCAGGGATAGACACCAACATTTAGAGCCTTCTCAAATGGATCAGCAAGGTGCAGTATTTGGAGGCCAAAATATTAACTTAAAACGTTTTAAATGAAGACAGCCTTCTACAAGCATTAAAAGACACAATTCCTATTAATTAGTATTTTTATTAGTATTTTTTTACTGAAAACGTAGCTACATTGGCACATTTTGTCTCCTACAGTCCATCTTTCTCTTTATGGAACAACATTATCATGTCAGGTAAAGTGTAAGATTCAGAGTCAGCTGCAGCACTATTTAAAGCTTGGCAATAGTGCTTAAAAACAACAAAAATAGGAAATTAACCACACAAATGCTTAACATCAAACCTTGATTTCAATCTTTCATGGTGGTATCCTGTGTCGGAACATTATCTTAAAGTGTGTGTAAGGCCATGGTGTGAAGAACACAACACCAAAAATCATTGTTGACTGCTTTAATTAAAAGCTTCTTAGGTAACAATTATTTATTTGAATAAAAGTGACAAAAGAAACAGAAAAATTTGCCTCTTAATGGATTTATTTTCAGACTATCAGTTCTAGAGGGGAACATTTCGCAGTGTACTCTCATTTCTGCTGACTTGTTTTAACTACTGCTACTCTAATTCTGATCAAATCATTAACAATACTATGTGGGTAACAGGTAGCACTAATAATCACACAAAAGCTGATAATGAGGCTAAGGAGCAATTTGGCATTTAGCATAGGAGGGCATGGTGTTCTTTTTTATAGTATCATAAATGCCTTTCAAGCATTAAAGGCGACAAGCCGACCAACCACACATGGGGACTCTGAACGTGGGCACTTCAGAGCCTTAGAGAGAGAGTTTCCCATTGTTCCCATTATTCCCTCTAGATCCTTGCTTGTGTTGTACTTACTCTCTGATGTACGTCGCTTGTCTGCTAAGTGAATTGTAGAATTGTAGAATTGTAGAGTCAGAAGTAAGCAGGTGCATGGAGCGGCAGTACATGAAAACATACACTTTTTTTGAACTTCAGCTATTGTGAACATAATTTAGTAGGTATATAGATTAAATATATGAACCCCAAAAAGGGCATAATATGACCTCTTTAAGATTATGTCAGATGCTATTTTAATTCAGTTGAAGCACACTGCTGCTGGCCCCCACCAACTCCCCCCCACTTCCCAACGAACCCCCACCAAGCCTGAACACTGCAAATGAGGCTGAGGAGCAATTTAGCCATTTATCAGGGAGGCATGGGGTTCCTTTCTGTGGAATCATAAATGCCTTTCAATCATTTAAGTTATTATTGGATGTTATTTGAATGCAGTTGAACTCCTTTTTTTTTTTGTTGCCTGAATCAGGTTCTTGCTATAAAATATGAAAAATCCATATCTACCCCTTTATCTGTCTTATCCCTATTCTTCAACAGTGCTCATACAAGAAAGTACAGAAAAGTCTGATGTATTAAAGGCAGTCATTTGTCAGAGACATGATGAAAGTGAAACTAACAGATTGATTGGATGCTATGGAGCGTAATAGCAGAGATTATGAGTAGCATAGAGTGGAGAGGAGACTCTTATGTAATCATGTTGATCTACAGTCAGTCTCTCCAATCCCTCTAATCAAGTGCAAGGGGATCAGACTGCAAGAGGGATCTGTGTATCATGTACAGTATAATAACACAATAGACATGTGGGTGCATCTGAGTAACAGAGAGATATGGACATACAGAGAAAGAGAGAGTTTGAGGTTTTACTTATGTTTCTTTACGTGCTATAAGGTATCTGACAAACCACTGCTGAGGGGCTGATAAAAAATATTAGTCAGACAATAACGATATTTTGTACTTTCAACCTGCTTCATTTTGAAATATTTTGTCTCAGAATACAAATGACACAATAGTTATATTTACCTTGGATGTCAAATTTAGCCCAGATTTAATGTGCCTGGATGAGCAAAAAACCTTTTTGATCCACAAATATATAGACGGATGGCTAGAGACCATTATGTATGTAGGACAGAACCAAAATGCATGAGCAGGTCAGAAAACATGTTTAAAAAGTCAGAATACTACAATTTCCCCATATCGGGCCAAGCCTCTACATCAATTCTGCCAGCCTGTTTTGCTGCTTTCTCTTTGCTGCTTTCTGTTGTTTGCATTTCTCTCCACCAACAAGTGACCATACTATTTAAATAAAAAATAAAAAAAATATTCATGGACGTGGATACAAGCACTACTTCTTCTTACGTCAAAACTGAAGTGGGATCTCCAAATCATCTACATCTGTACTGCCTCTCCCCAATGGAATCGGACTGGTCTGGACAATTCATTAGATTTATCACTGACTCATCCACTTATCTGAGCTCGACATGTAATTTCACTTTCCAGCCATCTTACCTGCTCCAACCACAAATTCCCATTTAGCAGCCTGTGCCAGCCGGACAGACTGGAGTCCCACAGGCGGCTGACGCTCATTTTCAATTTCAGTAAGACCTATTAGAGCCAGCTAGCAAATACGTTAACAGCCCATACCTGGCCTATTTTCATCTAAGAGCGACACACACTTTGAGCTTCACATTCTCACTGCGTTTGTTTTAACACATCCCAAGAGGATGTTACAGAAAAGGCTCTGTTGCTGCTTAAAAAAAAACATGTTGAGCCAAAAGGTAAAAAGCCATAGAAAGAAACAGAAAGATTGTTCAAAACTGAAACTTAATTAGTTATTGATTAAATTACAGAGTTTGTGCTCTTACATGTTTTTTTCCTTGTTTCGTTCAATGCCATTTTATTGACTTAAAATGACTGTGTTACAATAACAATGATAAAACAGTATGTTGCCCATCACTGGTGGGCATCAAAGCCAACAAACTATGATCTACAGTACATCCCAGTCTATTTGTGGAAAATTGCACTTCATGGTAATGTGTGACAGAAATACACATATATAATGTGTGAGGATAAAGGTATAATTTTGAGCCACCTGTACACTGCCATTGATGTTAAAATGTGTGATTAAATAGAGAAAAGAGCGGTAATAACCTTGTAAAGTACTTTGGATAACAGCGCAATATGAAGGTCACAGTTTTTTCCCCCTTGTGTTCTATAGTGGAAAATCGCAAATAGCGTAATGGAGGTTGGCCAATTGTTGTGTTATGCTTTATGAAGTGCTACCTTCAGAACATTCAAATCTTGTACAACTCCAATTGTTTACAGCTTATGACAGGACTTGCATTGTAGAGAGTACAAAATAGTCCTGCACATTAAGAGAATATAGATGAAAGAGTGCATTTTACAACAGTTATCATGTCTGCTGTTATTCATGCTTAACACACAATACCTGTGTTTACAGCACAACCCCCCCCCTCCCTCCCAACAACAATCCAATTATTTTTTAACCAGTAGATTGGCTACATGATGTGAGAATAGCTGATAGCTATGTTAAACTTTATCTGACTGCATCAAAATGGTGTGAAGCCTGGCAGATACACCCTGGCCTTCTGCCAATGGCTGTGCACGTTTATCGAGAAGGCATTGCTTTTTTATAAAAATTAACTTTCCTTTTGTTTATTGCTATTAATTCAGACTTATTGTGTTTGTTAGGAATGTTCATTTCGCGATAACAATGAAAATGGAGCTCAGCGTAAGTTCAGACAGGAAGACTGGTTATATTCTTTCACAAATTCATTCATCCTTTCACTTCAACCTAAAATACTTCCTCTGTCTACCTGCTTTGGTGTTAAGCTGATAATGGGCGTTTATTCTTTAAGTAATTAACCAACCAGATTCAGGCACAACCCCTCTCAACCAATCATCCTGCTGCAGCAAAATGCTAAAACAGTTCTCTCTCTTCCACAGTCATTCTGTCATTTCAGGGCAAACGCTGCAACCCACCACCGCCCCAGTCACCTCCATTCCAGCTCAGCAGAGTCCAGATTCAGGATCATCATAGCCTCTATTCCTCTCACCACCACCAGTGTCTAGACTCCATAAGGGGGTCTCCTAGCCTGCTGTCGGCCTCATTACCCTTCCGAGTACATGAAGTCGTCACGATGGAGTCTAATCCCCCAAAGACTTTGCACATTCAAATCTAAATTGTTACAATATGAGGGACAAATTCATGTAAGGTAGCAAAAAGTAACACGTGTGATAATGGCAAAAAGATATAAATTATTTATACATTATGTCCACATGCGATATGATGTGTTTAAACTTTTTAATCGCAGATTTCTGAATGTAAGCAACGGACTAATTATTGCCCTTGCAAGGTGGCATAAAAAGTAGTGTTCTGTAACTAAATCATTTCTGCATTTTAAAGTAATAAAAACATCAAGTTAGGGCGCTGGTGGCGCAGTGGTTAATGCGCACGCCCCAAGTTGGGAGGCTGTAGTCCTCGACGTGGGTGGCTCGGATTCGAATCCGGCCTGTGGCTCCTTTCCCGCATGTCATTACCTACTCTCTCTCCCTGATTTCCATCTCTGCCCACTGTCCTATCTCTCCATTAAAGGCACAAAAAATAAAAAAATAAAATAAAAAAAAGCCCAAAAATAAAAAATAAAAACATCAAGTTGATACTCACAACATGAAGTCTTGTTCCCAGCATGGCTGGTCCCCTCGGACTGTGATGGTGGTGCTCTTCACATTTTGCACCTTTAGAGTCACATATGCGTTGAACTTGTCTGGAAGAGAGGAAAATTAAACTGTGAACAATTCAAATTCAGATTTTGCTTTAGAAGGGAGATACAGTAGAGACAGCTGCATGGTCACACACAAGAATAACCTGAGTATGGTGAAGTACGTTTAGGATAAGATTGGAGGAAATATAAATGCAGTCTTTTCCAGAATAGGAATTATGTGGGTTTGAATAAAAAGTATATTCCTCACTGTCTGGATTGTCCGTGTGACATACATCTGTGATTGATTACTGCATCTGAAACTCATGCTTTGCTGCAGAAACTGTAAGGGCCATTTGAACTGTCTAAGGATGGATTTAACACACGATTAAAATCCCCTACAATAATAGAACATTTCATGTGGTAAGATATTACTGGGTAGAGAGCTGACAGAAAATCTGGCTGAGATGTAAGCTGCAGACTAAGAACAAAAACACCCTCTATGCCTATTCTGTGCAGTACATTATCCCTTTCACTTTGAATCACTAAACAGTGCAGACACAATAAAACACTGAGGACATAATATTCATGAAGAGCTGTCAGAAAGAGTTGATCAAGTGCAGGCCCATTACAGGCAATCAACATCTGTGTCATAACTCATCAAACTGAGTCCCAAAGATTATGAAGGTGTCTTCTCCAAAAATGAAGAAATGGGATCAACAAACTTGTAGATCTGCCCTCATGTGTGCCAAACTGAAATGAACAGTCAGTCTGCACAGATATGACAAGCAGTGCATTCGTTTAAAAAAGATCAATGAAATGTCTTTCCCCAGTTGTTGGACTGATTGCATCAAATATTTAAGTGACACTTACTTTAGTTTGTAAGAATCAGTTCTTCCTTTCACCATGCAGTCATTTTAAGTGTTAACATGTAACAAAATGCATGAAGAGAGGTGGAAAAAACAGTCCAAATAATAGATAGATTTATTCGTTTCCCACAAGATATGAGACTAAAGAAAGTCAGAGTAAAGATCAAACGATAACACTTTGTGCCTAAAATTTATTTTTATAAACCACATAATTAAATAACTGAAAAAAGTAACCAAGCACTTTCAATCTTAGGTTTAAGTCAGGATGGGATTTTTTACTTATTGAACACAACTATCTTTCTCCAAAATTGTGCATTTGGGTCCTAAAATCATACACAAAAAGGTTAGCAATTTTATAAAAACACCTTTAGTTTTATTAACATTTTGTAATATGTTTATAAAAAAACGATTACCTTTCATCTTGAATTATTAGCAATGAAAGGCAACCTTTCAGTATTTTTTTTTTGGGTGTTGAAACAATTATTGGGTTGAACTTTATCAATGCTGCGTAATGTTTAAGCTGTATACATAGTAAGTCTAAAAGGTGAGAAAAGTGTTCTGAAGGTCTTATCCTAAACTCAAATGCTAGTTAAATTCTAAGAAGAAAAACTTTTAAACTATGCCAGCCAAGTTATAAAATAAAAGTCAAAAACGATAAAGTTGGTGGGGTAAAACATTCATTTTGTTTAATGAATATGCACCAGACAATGTTTCATTTGTATTCATTGCCTTGCAGAAATTCTGAGCATTGCCTCTTAAATCAAGAGAAATGTTGAAGGAAACCAGCATTCAGCTTTCTCACCAGAAACAGACTTTATACCTGCAAACTTTATACCAGCATTTTTGATTTCCATTAATATTTGTTTTTTTTCCCTTGTTAAGTTGTCACTTTTTTTATTTAGTTAAATATATATATATACATATATATAGTTTATAACAAGTACTATTCAGTAACGGAAAACTTTAAAGGTGCAGCCCAAAAGAACATTTGATTTTCAATTTATGAATCTTCTATATTTGGTCATCCAGGACAAAAGCATGAAGGAAAAAATGAACAATTACTCCTTAAATAACTCTGCCGTGTGCCTTTAATGAAGCTCATTTACAAGATGAAGTCACTATTAACTTGAAGCGCTGAACAAGGAACATTGTACCCAGAAAAAGCCACTTCAGACTGAGAACCAGAGTCTCATTACATTTCCCAGCACACCCTGATGGCTGCACTGAAGGAACTATGTGACCTCGTCCCTTCTTTTCTATGGCGCTGGTCCATTTTCAGCTCTGATTAAGACTTCACATATTCATATCCAATCATAGTAAGACTACATGTGGTTACTGAGATCAGCTGGTGCAGAGATAATCACCCTCTTTTCTTTCTGGAAGTTTCTCCTTGTCCTCGTTGACGATTGTTGTTAAGGACATTGACGTTATACATGACGTCAATTCAATGTGGTCCTTTATTAATCCTGCTACTGTATTCTTACACTCATTCTTCTATACTTTATTCACAGTTACAATATATGAGATCTTATTTGCAGACTCATAAATGTCTGCCTGCATGTTAAGTTACTGATAAATTACAATAGCTAAATGCATTAATTTAATATCCTAAACAATAAAGCAACAGAATATATTGTTACAAAATCAGCAACATAGAATGATGTTGCATTAGGGTTAGTTTACTGTCAAATGCCTTGAAAATAGTTGTTCTCATATCATGGTGATACCATGATTTTTATGTCTCTGATAGCGATAACAACATGGTTTGAGAAATTGGTGAGTACACCATTCAAAGCATCTCAAGACACTTTACCAAAGCTCAGGTAAATGACTAACTCTTAGTTATAAAGACATAACATGAATCCATTATTGGCAATAAGCAACAATAAGCAAAGAAACAACTTAATTTAAGAGGCAGAAAACTAAAACAGAATCAGACTCATGGTGAACAGCCATCTGTTGAACTGTGCTGGGCTTGGAGAGGAGGATATGAAGGAAGAGGGATAGAAACAAACAGAGCAACAACAAAAATGAATACGATAGATTTATAGCTACAATGTCATTAATACTGGTAAAAGTGGAGTATTAGCAGTAGCAGCTAGGTGTAATATTCGGCTGATCAGCCTTGATTAATGTTGTATTTAATGTTGATGAAACTATTTGAGTGTGGGTGTCTGTAGGTATCAATCCTGCTTTCTAACTTACACTGATCCAAGTAAACCAAGGAGCAATGTGGGTGTAAGATACTGATCACCTAATGCCTGCTTGATTACAAGTGTTCAACTCTTCACAACAACAGATAGCCCCATCTACCTTAGACTGAGAGTCCATGCAGTGTGAGTGTGTGTATTTCTGTCTCCTACATTTCTGTATTTTTAATCTTAGACTCTATTGTTCAGAGTGCTGTTCAAGTTGAAGGCAATATCAGTGGTTGAAGATGAGGCTAGAAATGTGATTATTCAGCTGCATCAATAAATACATCATAGACAGCATTTGGTTCCAAGATCCAGTTCATTTTTTTCTCAATATGGATGGACCTGACAGCATAACCACATTGGGAAATACTCTACAAATGGCAGCCATTCAGCAGTTTTTATCATGCAGGCAAATTACATGCCAATTTCATATTTCGATGCATGAAGCTGCAGGTCAAAAAAAAAACAGGGCCAAGACAAATGCATTCACATAAAATCACTACAATTACACAAAAAGGTCAGACAGTATAAAATATGACTTAACCTAATCCAGTCCAACTAAACTATTCCCATCTACAAGCATGGCTCACTCTTTATGCTGTCTGCATTTTTAGTGCTTTTGTGTTCTTTTTGTCTGAATGGCTTATGTACTGTATCTGCAGCCCATTTGATTTTAATGCATATATGTTTTGCATTCTGCATATCGTTATTTTTTATATTTTTTTTACATTTGCAGCACATTGCCATTGCTGTATAAGTCTTGCATTTTTCTAAATTTGCCAATATTGTCAAGGTACAGCTTATCTTCCTAAATTGAATCTTTTGGGTCCTTGTAGCATGTTTGCCTTTGCAGACCAGTTTAAGAAGTAACTGGTCAGAGAAACAACATTAAGAATTAATAGAAAACATGGTTTCTGTCAAGGTGCAACTAGCGCCTGAGCTAGAGCTCTTACGATGTGAACCATGTGCTTCAGATCTCATCATTCCAGAACTCGTCACAGCTAAAAATATCAAAAAGGATCAGTAGTGTATGTGACATTTTGAGTGTAAGTAAACACAATGTAGCACAATGATTATTTGTTTCTTATGCGAATCAAATATCTGTCTCAGAATCCCTCCAGAGCTGTTGGTATATTACGCCATGCTGCTTTGTCAAAGAGTGCAGAGCAGTGCTCAGCTTGTAAAACAAATTAGAGGAGAAGAAACACTCCAGCTGACAGGAAATAGGATGCTCGCTGCACGTCTTCACGCTTATTAATGCAGGGAGGGCTGAAACACTCTTGACCTGCTTTATGTCATACACCAACACCCTCACAAATTTGAAAGCTTCCCAGTACAATCCAGTTTTGTGGCGTATAGCTTGAATAGATACAATACAATACAGAAGAGTGTTTCCAAGCTTTCAGGAATTCATTCTTATAGTGAAAACAAACTTTCAATTCATTGACGCCTCTTAAAGTGTCTGACACATCAGGCATATATAAAATCTCTACAGACATTAAGAAACAACAAACCATTTCAGATAATTTGCAGTCAAATTGTTCAAAGCATTACTGATGAGCAGTTTGAAATGTTTTCTTGCTAGATGTTGTAAAGGCGTTAGTGCACCAGTTTAAAACTAACATGATATTTTACGATGAATAAGTACATTTTAATATCCCTAGGTAAAATTAGGCTCTGATTTTTTTTAAACCTACAAAGGGTAATGCACAATAAATCCTAATCCACTGTAAATCTATGTGGAGTTGTTTTAGCTTCTTTAGTATCTGGACCTTGTTATCTAGGTTTTAAACAGTGAACAAGTCAAATGCAGATTTTCAAAGTTCAGTGCTATTTTACAACTGCTTATTAGTCTAATCTGCTTTCTTGCAGAGAATAAGCAAATAAGCAAAATAAACAGCAAGTCCTCTACATGAATACTTTACATTAGTAAAATCTGTAAAGAACAAATGTATAAAAATGTCCATGCTGGGGCACTGGTGGCGCAGTGGTTAGTGCGCGC